CAACATCAACACCACCACCATCAACACCACCACCATCAACATCACCACCACCACCAACATCAACACCATCAACATCACCACCATCAACACCACCACCATCTACATCAACACCACCACCATCAACATCACCACCATCAACACCACCACCATCAACATCAACACCATCAACATCACCACCACCACCAACATCAACACCATCAACATCACCACCATCAACACCATCAACATCAACACCACCACCATCAACATCACCACCATCAACACCACCATCAACATCATCACCATCAACATCACCACCACCACCAACATCAACACCATCAACATCACCACCATCAACACCACCACCATCCACACCATCAACATCAACATCACCATCAACATCACCACCATCAACACCACCACCACCATCAACATCGCCACCATCACCACCAATCACAAATTTCACCATCTGGTCTAACACCGTTTGAGACTCGGCTCGAAAGAAAGCTGTCTCTAGTGTGGACCAATCAGTTTCAAAGACAATGCATAAACTATCAGAGTATGTGTTTTGTTTGCATTCTGACCACAAGTATACGTGGTTGATGCAGACTTGATTCCTTGTAAAAAGGGTTTTCACTTTGGTGTTTTAACATCTCAACACCTGTTTTGTCGCCAGAAAAAGGGGGAAAACCTATTCTCGTATTTTTGGTACCGGCAAAGGAGGTCCCATAACGGTGAAATAAAAGTTTAGTCTTAGAATGAAAAGTCTGGCATCTCTACACACTCGCACACAACATCCCCCATTCGCCACGAACAAATACCCCCCCCCCACCACCACATCCTGAACATCCTCGTGGTGCAAGTGCTGTCAGCGAGCACAGAGGAATGCCCGTCGAACTTCTTTCGAACCGTACGTAGCCACCCGTGCGAATCGAATGCCAGGAAAGACACACACACAGACACACGCACGTGACATAATCACATCACTACGAGGTGAAAACGTCTTTGACGCACTTTTAATGGTTCACTGGGTGGAGCAACGCGCGGTCACCGAGATCCGAGGGGTCATCGCCCCCCTCTCCGCCCTGCCCCCCCCCCCCATCAGGGGGAGGGGTGGAGCAGCGAATGACCCAAGACCCCGACCACGACCCCGAACACCACAGACGCGACGTAGTTCGCGTGCGTACGGAGAAGGGGTGGGGGGGGGGGTGATGGTGACGCGCGCAGACTCCCTCGTACAAAACGAAGGATTAAAATAAAAAACGAAGTCAAAGTCTCGAGTTTTGTGAACGTCAATGGCAATAAATATGTGTCCACATTCCACTATGGAAGATCCAGAAACTCTCTCCTCTCTCCTCTCTCTCTCTCTCTGCGTCACCTGCCCCGGGAGGGCATTTGGGCCGGGGGGGGGGGGTGAAGGGGGGGTGAGAGGGGGGGGGGTGTAGGGGGGGGGGTGTGAGGGGGGGTGAAGGGGGGGGGTGAAGGGGGGGGGGGTGATAGGGGGTCTCTCTACACTGTCCCAACCTCACCCCAGCGGTGAGGCCAGACCCCCCCGAACCCCCTCCCCCCCCAACACAACCCTGCTGTGCTGGGACCCCCTATGCCACCCCCCCCCCTCTGTGCTGGGACCCCCCCCCCTCTGTCCCTCTGTGCTGGGACCTCCACCCCCCCCCCCCCCCTCTGTGCTGGGACCCCCCCCCCCCCCTCTGTGCTGGGACCCCCCCCCCCCCTCTGTGCTGGGATCCCCCCCCTGGGACCCCCCCACCCCAGATCCCTGTGCCGAGCCCCTGCTGCTGCACCTGTAGTTGCAGCTGCTACTGCAGCGTGGACTATGACCGCGTCTCTCCCCCGCGTGCGCCACCGCCACCGCCCGTCGTGCGAGAACGCTGCACCTGGACGACCCAGGTGGAGTTAGGCGCACACAGTACACACACACAGTACACACACACACACAGTACACACACAGTACACACAGTACACACACACACAGTACACACACACAGTACACACACACAGTACACACACACAGTACACACACACACACAGTACACACACACACACAGTACACACACACACAGTACACACACACACAGTACACACACACAGTACACACAGTACACACACACACAGTACACACAGTACACACACACACAGTACACACACACAGTACACACACACAGTACACACACACACAGTACACACAGTACACACACACAGTACACACACACAGTACACACACACAGTACACAGAGAACACACACAGTACACACACACAGCACACACACACAGCACACACACATAGTACACACACACACAGCACACACACAGTACACACAGCACACACACACACAGCACACACACAGCGCACACACACACAGCACACACAGTATACACACACACACAGCACCCACACAGTACACACACACAGTACACACCCACACAGTACACACACCTGCGCACAGATCGACACAATCGCACAATCGCATGTACTCCAGCCACGCGAGCACGCACGCCCACAAAGACAAAGGGGGACGGTTTGGGGGTCACGTGACATTCGCGAGCACCTCTGGAGAAGGCCGGCACGGCATGCGACAGCGCAATGTGGTGGCCAAAACCACGCCTGGCCGCCTTTGTCTCCCCGGTGCTGACGTTCTGATAACACCAATGCACCCGGTGCTTATTTAAAGGCGGCCTTTGGGAAAGGGCCACGGGACCGCTTCAGGTGTTCGTCACCGACGTTGTCCGCAAACGGAAATTAAACTCGGATCGCCGGGGCTTCGGTAGCGCGCGGCACGCTAACTCGCCACAACTATCACACACACACACACATGTACACACACACACACATGTACACACACACACACACATGTACACACACATACACACACACATGAACACACACACACACACACGAACACGTACACACACGTACACACACACACGTACGTACACGAACACACACACACACACGTACGTACACGAACACACACACACATGTACACACATGTACACACACACGTACACACACACGTACGTACACACACGTACGTACACACGTACGTACACACGTACACACGAACACACACACGAATACAAACACCTGCACTCGCAATCATAAACAAAGAGACCCCCCCCCCCCCCGTGTAGCCTGTAACAGACTGCTGGGGCAAGTGCTGTTAGCGAGCAGCACCTAGGAAGGCCGGCACGGCACGCGAGGGGGTGGGTGGCCAGCACCACGCCCGGCCGCCTTTGTCTCACCTGTGGCGATGTTTACACACCGCAGCAGGTACTCATTTGAGACCGAGTCGACCTAGGGGAGGCCCAGGACCGGTTCAGATAATCGTCACCGGTGTTGGCCCTGAGCGGGCAATTGGACTCGGGTCGCCGGGTTCGGAGCGCACCGCTGCACCACCACTCTCCCCACACGCACACACAGGTGCGCAGACACACACACACTCACCTACACACAGGTGTGTACAGACACACACACACACACCTGCACACACGCACACCTGCACACACACACGCACACACAGGTGTGCAGACACACACACACTCACCTACAGACAGGTGTGTACAGACACACACACACCTGCACACAGGTGTGCACACAGACACACACACCTGCACACACACGCAGGTGCACACAGACACACACACACACACCTACACACAGGTGCGCACAGACACACACACACACCTACACACAGGTGCGCACAGACACACACACACACCTGCACACAGGTGTGCACACAGACACACACACCTGCACACACACACACAGGTGCGCTCAGACACACACACACGCCCAGCCCCCGATCGTGCCCCCCAGATTTAGTGCAACTGCTTGACCTGCCCCCCCCCCCCAACGACTGCCCCGCCTCCCCCTCCCCCCCCATCTCCTCCTCATTAACAAATTATCTAGTATAATAAAATAACATAAAATAACAGCAATAGCAAATTAAATAATCTTCTGCCACTACGCCCTTGGTACTGACAGAACCTAAAATATAACAACAAAAACCGACGACAGGTAATAATGACGACGGCAATCATCATCATGGTAACAGAACGGTGAGCGGCATTCCTCGCATTGGCGGTGAGCGCCGGGTGGTGAGTGACGGTGAGTGACGGTGAGCGCCGGGTGGTGAGTGACGCGTGGTGAGCGCCGGGTGGTGAGCGCCGGGTGGTGACGGTGAGTGACGGTGAGCGCCGGGTGGTGAGTGACGGTGAGTGACGGTGAGTGACGGTGAGTGACGGTGAGTGACGGTGAGTGACGGTGAGCGCCGGGTGGTGAGTGACGGTGAGTGACGGTGAGTGACGGTGAGTGACGGTGAGTGACGGTGAGCGCCGGGTGGTGAGTGACGGTGAGTGACGGTGAGTGACGGTGAGCGCCGGGTGGTGAGTGACGGTGAGTGACGGTGAGTGACGGTGAGCGCCGGGTGGTGAGTGACGGTGAGTGACGGTGAGTGACGGTGAGTGACGGTGAGTGACGGTGAGCGCCGGGCGGTGAGTGACGGTGAGTGACGGTGAGTGACGGTGAGCGCCGGGTGGTGAGTGACGGTGAGCGCCGGGTGGTGAGTGACGGTGAGTGACGGTGAGTGACGGTGAGCGCCGGGTGGTGAGTGACGGTGAGCGCCGGGTGGTGAGTGACGGTGAGTGACGGTGAGTGACGGTGAGCGCCGGGTGGTGAGTGACGGTGAGTGACGGTGAGTGACGGTGAGTGACGGTGAGTGACGGTGAGCGCCGGGCGGTGAGTGACGGTGAGTGACGGTGAGTGACGGTGAGCGCCGGGTGGTGAGTGACGGTGAGTGACGGTGAGTGACGGTGAGCGCCGGGTGGTGAGTGACGGTGAGTGACGGTGAGTGACGGTGAGTGACGGTGAGCGCCGGGTGGTGAGCGCCGGGTGGTGACGGTGAGTGACGGTGAGCGCCGGGTGGTGAGTGACGGTGAGTGACGGTGAGTGACGGTGAGTGACGGTGAGCGCCGGGTGGTGAGCGCCGGGTGGTGAGTGACGGTGAGCGCCGGGTGGTGAGTGACGCGTGGTGAGCGCCGGGTGGTGAGCGCCGGGTGGTGAGTGACGCGTGGTGAGCGCCGGGTGGTGAGCGCCGGGTGGTGAGTGACGGTGAGCGCCGGGTGGTGAGTGACGGTGAGCGCCGGGTGGTGAGTGACGCGTGGTGAGCGCCGGGTGGTGAGCGCCGGGTGGTGACGGTGAGTGACGGTGAGCGCCGGGTGGTGAGTGACGGTGAGTGACGGTGAGTGACGGTGAGTGACGGTGAGCACCGGGTGGTGAGTGACGGGTGGTGAGCCACCACCTCCCCCGGTGGCTGTGTGCTTTTGTGAAATTTTTGCCTGACCCCTAAAAGCACTTTGGAACATCTCCCGGCCGCGCCAACGGCCGGGCGAGTGTCGCTAGACGTATATATAGATAGAATCTCTTCTCGTTAATATAATAGAGATATAGATATTTCTTATTTCCTCCGCGAGTCCAGCACTGGCACTAAAAGCGATCGACGCGAGCGAGGCGAGCGGTCCGCCTTGGGCGCCCCCCCTCCCCTTCCCCACTCTCCCCGCAATGGCCGGTCCAAATCCTCGCCGCTTCGCTCTCTCGCCCGCCTCCCGCGCCCGTCAGTTCCTCCTCCTTCCGCCCTCCCTCTTTGGCACCGCCGTCACCGCCGCTGCGGCCGTCACCGCCGCTCCTCTTTCCCCTTCCGCCCCCGGATCCACAACGGCCGCGTTGCAGCGTGGCCTACGGATGTTGACCCCGCGTGCGTGCGTGCGTCTCCGTGCTCCCGTCAAGCCGTGCGTCCCCTGGCGTTAGTCTGCGGTTGGCCGCCCCCCACCCCCATCCCCACCCCCATCCCCACCACCACGACCATGACCGCCGTCTCTTGCTCGGTCGCGCCGCCGCCGTCGACGGCAACGGCGGCGGCAGTCGTTCCGGTCGCGTCGCCGCTGTTGCCGGCGATGGCGCCCGCGCCGGGCTTGGTGCCGGCAGCCGCGCCGGTCGCGCCGCGGGCGGCGGCGGCAACGGCGGCCGTGCCCGCGGCGGGGCCCGCTGCCGCCTTGGCGCCGGTCGCCGTGACGGCGACCGGCATGAGGCAGTGTCTCAGCGCCTCGCTGTAGGAGGGCGGCGGCGGCAGCAACAGCCCCCGCGGGGGACCCCCCCCGTCGCCGCCGCCGCGAGCCCCCCCCGCCGAGACCCCCGCTCGGCAGGAGGGGGGCCGGAAGTGCGGCCAGTAGTCGCTGTCGAAGACGGTGCGGTTGGGGGGCGGCCGGATGGCCTCGCGGTTGATCTCCAGCTGCTGCTCGTGGTTGCGGAGGCGCAGGGAGCAGGGGCCCTTGTAGGGGGGCGGCTCCTCGCCGTCCGAGAGCGCGATCGTGGGGGGCAGGTCCACCTCGGAGGAGCTGTAGGGGTACTTGAGCCCCCCGCCCGGGCGGGCGAAGGGGTCGCGGACGGCCGGGGGGCCCCCCGTCGCAGAGCCCCCGCCGCACACCAGGGGCTGGTGGGGGCGACGGTGGCGGGGGGGAGGGGGGGTGGGGAGAGAGTGGGGAGGGGAGCAGAGGGTGGGGGGGAGAGATGGGGGGGGGGCGTAGAGGGTGGGGGGGAGAGAGGGGGAGGGAGCAGAGGGTGGGGGGGAGAGAGGGGGGGTGGGGAGAGAGTGGGGGGGGGGGGTCGGTGGAGAGAGGGGGGGAGGAGGGGGCAGAGGGTGGGGGGAGAGAAGTGAAGAGGAAAACAGAGAGAGGAGAAGATAGAACACAGAGAGACATTGAAATCAATAAAAACAACAACAACAACAACCCCATCACTGAACCTCTGCTGCACTGACTTTGAGTGGTGACGTTGAGGGTGACGTTGGGGGGGGTGACTTTGGGGGGGTGACGTTGGGGGGGGTGACTTTGAGTGGTGACGTTGTAGATGTGAGGGTGCGGGTGTGACGTTGCGGGGAGGTGATGTTGTGGGTGTGACGTTGCGGGGAGGTGATGTTGTCGGTGTGACATTGCGGGTCCGTCCTTGGGGGGGTATGATGTTGTGGGTGTGACGTTGGGGGGGGGGGGGGGGGTGCCACGTTGTAGGTGTGATGTTGTAGGTACGATGTCGCGGGGGTGACAGTGTGGGGGTGACATTGCGGGTGTGATGTTGTGGGGGTATGATGTTGTGGGTGTGACGTTGGGGGGGGGGGGTGCCGCGTTGTAGGTGTGATGTTGTAGGTACGATGTCGCGGGGGTGACAGTGTGGGGGTGACATTGCGGGTGTGATGTTGTGGGGGTATGATGTTGTAGGTACGATGACGTTGCGGGGGTGACGTGGCGGGTGTGATGTTGTGGGGGTATGATGTTGTTGACGTGACGTAGGGGGTGTGTGACGTCGCAGGGGTGACGTTGCGGGTGTGATGTTGTGGGGGTATGATGTTGTTGACGTGACGTAGGGGGTGTGTGACGTCGCGGGGGTGACGTTGCGGGTGTGATGTTGTGGGGGTATGATGTTGTTGACGTGACGTAGGGGGTGTGTGATGTCGCGGGGGTGACGTTGCGGGTGTGATGTTGTGGGGGTATGATGTTGTTGACGTGACGTAGGGGGTGTGTGATGTCGCGGGGGTGACGTTGCGGGTGTGATGTTGTGGGGGTATGATGTTGTTGACGTGACGTAGGGGGTGTGTGACGTCGCGGGGGTGACGTTGCGGGTGTGATGTTGTGGGGGTATGATGTTGTTGACGTGACGTAGGGGGTGTGTGATGTCGCGGGGGTGACGTTGCGGGTGTGATGTTGTGGGGGTATGATGTTGTTGACGTGACGTAGGGGGTGTGTGACGTCGCGGGGGTGACGTTGCGGGTGTGATGTTGTGGGGGTATGATGTTGTTGACGTGACGTAGGGGGTGTGTGACGTCGCGGGGGTGACGTTGCGGGTGTGATGTTGTGGGGGTATGATGTTGTTGACGTGACGTAGGGGGTGTGTGATGTCGCGGGGGTGACGTTGCGGGTGTGATGTTGTGGGGGTATGATGTTGTTGACGTGACGTAGGGGGTGTGTGACGTCGCGGGGGTGACGTTGCAGGTGTGATGTTGTGGGGGTATGATGTTGTTGACGTGACGTAGGGGGTGTGTGACGTCGCGGGGGTGACGTTGCGGGTGTGATGTTGTGGGGGTATGATGTTGTTGACGTGACATAGGGGGTGTGTGACGTCGCGGGGGTGACGTTGCGGGTGTGATGTTGTGGGGGTATGATGTTGTTGACGTGACGTAGGGGGTGTGTGACGTCGCGGGGGTGACGTTGCGGGTGTGATGTTGTGGGGGTATGATGTTGTTGACGTGACGTAGGGGGTGTGTGATGTTGCGGGGGTGACGTTGCGGGTGTGATGTTGTGGGGGTATGATGTTGTTGACGTGACGTTGCGGGTGTGATGTTGTGGGGGTATGATGTTGTTGACGTGACGTAGGGGGTGTGTGATGTTGCGGGGGTGACGTTGCGGGTGTGATGTTGTGGGGGTATGATGTTGTTGACGTGACGTTGCGGGTGTGATGTTGTGGGGGTATGATGTTGTTGACGTGACGTAGGGGGTGTGTGATGTTGCGGGGGTGACGTTGCGGGTGTGATGTTGTGGGGGTATGATGTTGTTGACGTGACGTTGCGGGTGTGATGTTGTGGGGGTATGATGTTGTAGGTACGATGTCGTTGTGGGTGTGATGTTGTGGGGGTATGATGTTGTTGTGGGTGTGACGTGGGACCAGTCACCTGATGAGAACTTGCGGTTTGCGAGGCTGCTCGGTCAGCAGGCCACAGGCCACTACCCTGTGAGACACACACACACAGCAGCATCATCATCATCAGCACCATCAATATCATCAGCATCATCAGCAGCAGCATCATCAACAGCATCATCATCAATATCAGCAGCATCATCATCATCATCAGCATCATCATCATCAGCAGCATCATTATCATCATCATCAGCAGCATGATCATCAGCAGCAGCATCACCATCATCAACAGCATCATCATCAGCACGAGCAGTATCATCATCAGCAGCATCATCATCATCAACAGCATCATCAACAGCATCATCAGCAGCATGATCATCATCATCAGCAGCATCACCATCATCAACAGCATCATCATCAGCAGGATCACCATCAATATCATCAGCATCATCATCAGCGTGAGCAGCAGCATCATCATCAGCATGATCAGCAGGATCACCATCAATATCATAGGCATCATCATCAGCACGAGCAGCACTGTCAGCATCATTGTCATCAGCAGCATCATCAGCAGCATCATCAGCAGCATCATCACGACCCCACTAACAGGGACGTCGCATGTTGCGTTGTCCGCGTCGCGTGGCGAGCGTGGCGGCGTACGTCGTCACGGCGTACGTGTTACCGTCGCGTATACGATACCACGCAGCCTGCGTTACCACGGCGAGCACGGCACTCCCACGGTTACCGTGGTGTTTGTGCGTCACCGTGGCCGCGATGGAGTGTGCGCGTTACTACGGTTACCATGGTGTGCGTGAGCAGTGGGGGTGTGGGGCGGCTGTCGAGGAGGAGGTGGTGGTGGTGGAGCAGTGAGCAGGGCAGGAACACCATGGCAGCCACGCCGGCCATCAGCAGCACCAGCCTCCGTGGCGGCACACACACCACCCCTGTGCGCACCGCAGCACACCGTCACCGTTACACCGTCATAACCATCACCATTACACCGTCACCATTACACCATCACACCGTCACCGTTACACCATCACCGTCACACCGTCACCATTACACCATCACACCATCACTATTACACCGTCACACCATCACCATTACACCGTCACACCGTCACCATTACACCGTCACACCGTCACCATTACACCATCACACCATCACCATTACACCGTCACCATTACACCGTCACACCATCACTATTACACCGTCACACCATCACCATTACACCGTCACACCATCACTATTACACCGTCACACCATCACCATTACACCGTCACACCATCACCATTACACCGTCACACCATCACCATTACACCGTCACACCATCACCATTACACCGTCACACCGTCACCATTACACCATCACACCGTCACACCATCACCATTACACCGTCACCATTACACCGTCACACCATCACCATTACACCGTCACACCATCACCGTTACACCGTCACACCATCACCATTACACCGTCACCGTCACACCGTCATAACCGTCACCATTACACCGTCACCGTCACACCGTTACCATCACACCGTCACACCGTCACCATCACACCGTCACCGTCACCATCACACCGTCACAATCACACCGTCAACGTTACACCGTCACCATTACACCATCACCATTACACCGTCACCATTACACCATCAAAAGACATCATTACTGCCACACCATCACTGTTACACCATCACCGACACAACATCACCGTTAAGCCATCACCGTGAAGCTATCATCGTTACACCATCATCATTAAACCATCACCAACACCACCATCAGCGTTACATCACCGCTGTTACACCATCACCAACACACCATCACCGCCACAACATCACTATTACACCGTCACCGACACACCATCACCGCATGATGATCCTGAGTGTGGAATGGAAAAAGGGAGGACCCGGAGAAAAATTCCACGCAACGACAAACGCCGAATGTCCACGACCTCCAGTACACCGGGCGAGGTCGTGAACATCTCCTAGCCACCGTGGCGCGCACCCCACCATAGCGAGAGGTGACTTTAAGCATTGGGGGGGGGGGGGGGGGCCTTAAGCCAACAGTGGATTCATCACGGCCGACAACGATGATCCATCATACAGCTCTTCTTGGGTTCGATAGCGTAAAACAAAATGTTTGACCTGCGTTACGGCGAAAGCCCGCGTGTTAAAATGATGACGAGGATGCCGACGATTAGCAAGGTCGGCCAGAGGTGATGCAGCAGGGCACGGCGGAGTGAAGCCGGGGCCTCTTGAGCAAGGGGACGGGGATTCGAAAGCGCGGATGGCTGTGGGGGTGCGGCAGAGGTCGCAAACGGGTTTTGATTCCTTACCCGTACCCGTACCCGGCCGCACCAGGGTCGCAAACGGGTACCCGTACCCGGCCGTACCCGTACCCTACCCGATACCCGTGTACCCTACCCGTACCCGGCCGGGTATCGGGTAGGGTACACGGGTATCGGGTACCCGATTGCGACCTCTGGGATGAAGCCATGTTGCAGGCGTGGGTGGGTTGATTCTAGGAACTTGAATTGTGAGAAGAGACAAGACGTTGGGAAATGAGTGACAAACGGTGACTCACCAGTGACTCACGGCCTACCCGTACCCGTACCCGGCCGCACCAGGGTCGCAAACGGGTACCCGTACCCGGCCGGGTACGGGTAGCCGGGTATCGGGTAGGGTACGGGTATCGGGTACCCGGTTGCGACCTCTGGGGTGCGGCAAGGTCGTTGCAGACAGACGGACGAGAGGGATGGAGGAGGGGTCTGTGCAGGACGAGTGACGACCTCCCACGATGATTTGGGCAGAAGTTTCCTACCCCCAGGGGAGAAAGACCTTGACTTAACATGGGAGATTGGCGGGCGGGGGGGCTTTAATTTGGCCATTCTGCGACGCAGACTTTTATTCTGCCAGGCGGGGAGTTGATACAGCTGATGCCAGCCTTTGATGTTTGGCAGACAGACGGCACCCGGCCGAGGGGGCGGCCTTTATTTTGGCAAGCGGGTCCATCCCGTGACGAGGGGACTTCTATTCTGGAGAGGTAGCCAATCCGTACTGAGACGGACTTTATTTTGGCAAGCGGGTTCATCCTCGTGACGAGGGGACTTCTATTCTGAAGAGGTAGCCATTCCGTGCTGAAAGGGCCTTTATTTTGACAAGCGGGTCAAGCCCCGTGACGAGGGGACTCTATTCTGGAGAGGTAGCCAATCCGTGCCGAGAGGGCCTTTATTTTGGCAAGCGGGTCCATCCCGTGACGAGGGGACTTCTATTCTGGCAAGAGGAGGAGGGGGGGGGGAGACCTACCCTCCCCGTCATGGGAGCCTTTATTTTGGCAGGGGGCCACACCGTGATGACTCAACGTCTAGACTTTCGCATTCGCCCTGCACCCACCCACCCACCTCGCTGACTCTCACTCACACGTACACAAAGATCCCCCCCCCCGTACCGCCTTGACGACTGCGCCTATGGAGGCCGACACGGCCGCCTTTGTCTCCCCAGTGCTCATGTTGACAAACTGCACCGGGTACTCATTTAAGGCTGTGTTGACCTAGGGCAGCCCCAGGACCGGTTCTATGTGAGTCTAAGGGTCTCTATGTGAGTCTATGGGTCTCTATGTGAGTCTATGTGTCTCTATGGGAGTCTATGGGTCTCTATGGGAGTCTAAGGGTAAATATGAGAGTCTGTGGGTCTCTATGGGAGTCTATGGGTCTCTATGAGAGTCTATGGGTCTCTATGTGAGTCTATGGGTCTCTATGGGAGTCTATGGGTCTCTATGGGAGTCTATGGGTCTCAGAGTCTATGGATCTCTATAAGAGTCTATGGGTCTTTATGGGAGTCTATGGGTCTCAATGGGAGTCTATGGGTCTCTATGGGAGTCTATGGGTCTCATAGAGTCTGTGGATCTTTATAAGAGTCTATGGGTCTTTATGGGAGTCTATGGGTCTCTATTGCAGTCTATGGGAGTATATGGGTCTCTATGGGAGTCTATGGGTCTCTATGGGAGTCTATGGGTCTCTGTAATTCTGAGAGTCCAGGCTTAACGCGTGCCTCTTATATTCTGCCGACATGACTCATAATCCTCTGCAGGATAACCAGGCCCATGGCGCTCGAGATGAGGGCTCATTTCAGACTTTGCCCGTGGTGTGTATTATATTACACACACACACAGGAGCATGGTACACACACACACACAGGAGCATGGTACACACACACACAGGAGCATGGTACACACACACACACACAGGAGCATGGTACACACACACACACACTGGAGCATGGTACACACACACACACAGGAGCATGGTACACACACACACACAGGAGCATGGTACACACACACACACAGGAGCATGGTACACACACACACACAGGAGCATGGTACACACACACAGGAGCATGGTACACACACACACAGGAGCATGGTACACACACACAGGAGCATGGTACACACACACACAGAGCATGGTACACACACACACACACAGGAGCACGGTACACACACACACACAGGAGCACGGTACACACACACACACACAGGAGCATGGTACACACACACACAGGAGCATGGTACACACACACACACAGGAGCATGGTACACACACACACACAGGAGCATGGTACACACACACACACTGGAGCATGGTACACACACACACACAGGAGCATGGTACACACACACACAGGAGCATGGTACACACACACACACACAGGAGCATGGTACACACACACACACACAGGAGCATGGTACACACACACACACAGGAGCATGGTACACACACACACAGGAGCATGGTACACACACACACAGGAGCATGGTACACACACACACACACAGGAGCATGGTACACACACACACACACAGGAGCATAGTACACACACACACACAGGAGCATGGTACACACACACACAGGAGCATGGTACACACACACAACAGGAGCATGGTACACACACACAGGAGCATGGTACACACAGGAGCATGGTACACACACACACAGGAGCATGGTACACACACACACACACAGGAGCATGGTACACACACACACACAGGAGCATGGTACACACACACACACAAGAGCATGGTACACACAGGAGCATGGTACACACACACACAGGAGCATGGTACACACACACACAGGATCATGGTACACACACACACAGGAGCATGGTACACACACACACACAGGAGCATGGTACACACACACACACAGGAGCATGGTACACACCCACACACAGGAGCATGGTACACACACACACACACAGGAGCATGGTACACACACACACAGGAGCATGGTACACACACACAGGAGCATGGTACACACACACACACAGAAGCATGGTACACACACACAGGAGCACGGTACACACACACACAGGAGCATGGTACACAACACACACACAGGAGCATGGTACACACACACACAGGAGCATGGTACACACACACACACAGGAGCATGGTACACACACACACACACAGGAGCATGGTACACACACACACACACAGGAGCATGGTACACACACACACAGGAGCATGGTACACACACACACAGGAGCATGGTACACACACACACACAGGAGCATGGCACACACACACACACAGGAGCATGGTACACACCACACAGGAGCATGGTACACACACACACACAGGAGCATGGTACACACACACACACAGGAGCATGGTACACACACACACACAGGAGCATGGTACACACACACACACAGGAGCATGGTACACACACACACAGGAGCATGGTACACACACACACAGGAGCATGGTACACACACACACACAGGAGCATGGTACACACACACACACACAGGAGCATGGTACACACACACACACAGGAGCATGGTACACACACACACAGGAGCATGGTACACACACACAGGAGCATGGTACACACACACACAGGAGCATGGTACACACACACACACAGGAGCATG